AGCATGTCTTACTGCGCATAACACTTTGAATGCCAATAATCGTTGAGATGCTTAAATGATTGAACTGCAATTCCATTGTGCGAAGATCTAATTTAAGGTTTTGGAGTAGATCTGTAGCTCGGGTTGTGGGTGTTGAGGTTGATTGGCTCGCCGAGCTGGTTTGTTGTTCCACAGACGTTTCGTTACCGTGCTTGGTAACATCCCCAGTGCAGCTTCTGATGAAGCGTCGGTGTGTTTTCCCGCTGGTTTTTAAACTCTGGGGTCGTTTGCGATGGATTGCCTCACTTCCGGGTTTCCTCCGTAGTGAAATGTATATGGAGTCGAGTTCAATGTGTTTATTAATAGCATGCTTCGTGGAGTGCCATGCTTCCAGGAATTCTCGTGCTTGTCTCTGCCTAGCCTGTCCCAGTCGAAGTGGTGGTTCTCCTTGTCCATGTGGATTGAGATGAGTGAGTATTTGTCGTGTCTTTTTGTAGCCAGTTGGTGTTCGTGTACTCTTGTTGTTAGTTTCCTTCCTGTTTATCCAATGGAGTGTTTCTCACTGTCTCTGCAGGGGATCTTGTAGATGACATTGATCCTGTCCATGGCGGGGAGTGGGTCTTTAGTTCGGGTGAGCACTTGTCGTAGGGTTGATGTGGGCTTGTGTGCCACTCTGATGCCCAGCGGTCGTAGAAGTCCTGTGGTGAGTTCTGACATGTTCCTGATGTAGGGTAGTGTGATGAGTGTGTCGGGGCGTGTAGAATCTTTCTGATGCCGTTCCTGTAGGCATCTCCTGACCCAGTTCTTTGGATATCCATTATCCTTGAAGACTTGGAAGAGGTATTCCTCCTCCTCTTGGCGTAGTTCTATGTTGCTGCAGTTTGTTGTTGCTCCTTTAAACAGTGTTCGCACGCAGCTTCGTTTGTGTGTGCTGGGATGGTTACTATTGAAGTTCAGTACCTGGTCTGTGTGTGTGGCTTTTCGGTGTACTTTCGTTTGCAGTTCCCCTTTTGTCTTGCGCGCTACCATGACGTCCAGGAATGGGAGTTGTTTGTTCTTCTCCTCCTCTCTGGTGAATTTTATTCCGGTGAGGGTGTTGTTTATGAGTTTGTGTGTCTCTTCTAATTTGGTCCGTTTAATCACGACAAAGGTGTCATCTATGTAGCGTATCCATGGTTTAGGTTGGATTTGCGGAAGGGCAGTCCTTTCCAGTCTTTGCATCACTGCTTCTGCTATGAGTCTGGAGATAGGCGATCCCATGGGTATCCCGTTGATTTGCTCGTATGTTTGGCCATTGAAGGTGAAGTGGGTGGTCAGGCATAGGTCCAGTAGTTTAAGCATGTTGTCCTTGGAGATGGTTTCACTGGGGTTGTGTTCTTGTTCAAGTAATGTTGTCATTGTTTCCCTTGCTAGTGGTATGTCTATTGATGTGAATAGGGCGGTGACATCAAACGATATCATGGTCTCTTCGACCTCTATCTTTATGTCTTTGAAGGCGTTGAGGAATTCTCGGGCTGAGTGGATGGAGTGGGGTGATTTGTTGACTAGGTGCTTGAGTCTTCCTTGTAGTTCTCTGGCTAATCTGTGCGATGGAGTGGACAAGGAGAACCGCGACTTCGACTGGGACAACACCAAGATCCTGGGACAGGCTAGGCACAGACAAGCACGAGAATTCCTGGAAGCATGGCAGTCCACGAAGCATGCTATTAATAAACACATTGAACTCGACCCCATATACAATCCACTACAAAGAAGACTCAAGCACCTAGTCAACAAATCACCCCACTCCATCCACTCAGCCTGAGAATTCCTCAACTCCATCAAAGACATAAAGATAGAGATCGAAGAGACCATGATATCGTTTGATGTCACCGCCCTATTCACATCAATAGACATACCACTAGCAAGGGAAACAATGACAACACTACTTGAACAAGAACATGACCCCAGTGAAACCACTTCCAAGGACAACATGCTTAAACTACTGGACTTATGCCTGACCACCCACTTCACCTTCAATGGCCAAACATACGAGCAAATCAACGGGACTCCCATGGGATTGCCTATCTCCGGACTCATAGCAGAAGCAGTGATGCAAAGACTGGAAAGGACTGCCCTTCCGCAAATCCAACCTAAACTTATGGATATGCTAAGTAGACGACACCTTTGTCGTGATTAAACAGACCAAATTAGAGACACACAAACTCATAAACAACACCCTCACCGGAATAAAATTCACCAGAGAGGAGGAGAAGAACAAACAACTCCCATTCATGGACGTCATGGTAGAGCGCAAGACAAAAGGGGAACTGCAAACAAAAGTACACCGAAAAGCCACACACACAGACCAGGACTGAACTTCAATAGTAACCATCCCAGCACACACAAACGAAGCTGCGTGCAAACACTATTTAAAAGGGCAACAACACACTGCAGCAACATAGAACTACGCCAAGAGGAGGAGGAATATCTCTTCCAAGTCTTCAAGGATAATGGATATCCAGAGAACTGGGTCAGGAGATGTCTACAGGAACAGCATCAGAAAGATTCTACATGCCCCGACACACTCATCACACTACCCTACATCAGGAACACGTCAGAACTCACCACAAGACTTCTTCGACCGCTGGGCATCAGAGTGGCAAACAAGCCCACATCAACCCTACAACAAGTGTTCACCCAAACTAAAGACCCACTCCCCGCCATGGACAAGACCAGTGTCATCTACAAGATCCCCTGCAGAGACTGCGAGAAACACTCCATTGGACAAACAGGAAGGAAACTAACAACAGGAGTACATGAACACCAACTGGCTACAAAAAGACACGATCAATACTCACTCATCTCAGTCCACATGGACAAGGAGAATCACCACTTCAACTGGGACAACACCGAGACCCTGGGACAGGCTAGGCAGAGACAAGCGCGAGAATTCCTGGAAGCATGGCACTCCACGAAGCATGCTATTAATAAACACATTGAACTCGACCCCATATACATTCCACTACGGAGGAAACCCGGAAGTGAGGCAATCCATCGCAACCGACCCCAGAGTTTAAAAACCAGGCGGGAAAACACACCGACGCTTCATCAGAGGCTGCACTGAGAATGTTACCAAGCATGGTAGCGAAACGTCTGCGGAACAACAAACCAGCTCGGCGAGCCAACCAACCTCAAAGATCTAATTTCTAAAAGAGAAAATAGTGAATATATATTTTATGCTCATGCAGATATTCAAGCAAAACCAGGAAGATTTAGAGGAAGTGGAGAAGGCTGGGGCTCTGCATCTGTAAAGATGATGAGACCAAGCAGCCCTGTTCAAGAGCATGAAGATATTATCTTGTAATTCTGAATGATTACAAAGTCCTCGGTTCAACTTTTGATCTGCACTGCATTGACTGGTGTCGTGAAGCTAGCACTTGGATGTTAGTTTTAGGATAGAATAGAAAATTCAGGACTGTTGCTGTTGATCACTGTTCCTGGCTAGATAATGCACAATCCTGGATGAATAGTGCTTGTGTGAAGATAGAATCTGAGTAGTTTGCAATGTCCTTGGGAGAAGAAGAACCCATTGTCATTCATTATCTAGGCACATACGAAGAATAGCAGCTTTGCCATGATATTGGAGAGCTGTTAGTGCAAGTGAAAGCATATCTGGAATTTTGATATTTTTCTAAATTTATGACTCTTGCTGTTCTTGACTCCTTATTGACAATTACGATTGAAATGTGTCTTCCACATGCTAGGTGTAGTCACTATATGACTTTGTGTGGTTATAAATTTCACACTTTCATAGACCTTTGTTGACTGCACAGTAGCTATAATTTTTACACAACCCCTCCATATTTCAACCTGACACTACCTGGTTATTTAGCATTCCTCAGCAGAATCCTAATGAACCTAATCCAAATCATGCCTCTTTCACATGGAATTCATTGTCATAAGATGAAGATATTAATGCTGATTCCACTATTCTCTATCCTGAGCAGTGGATATACCAGTGGGATATTGTCGATTTGTAAAGTTCAAAGGAGCATCTCAAATGTCCAGTTTGGAAAACTCAAGGGACATTATTTGATTCTTAATTTACATCAATGCTAATAACTGTTGAAGGATGCCGAGTTCAAGATTTCCTCTGAACCTTGCTTAGAAAATATGTCTTTCTTTTAATTGATTAAGTTAAGGACCAAGGCTTCATTACTGATAGAGTTGCAGGTTGGTAAGAATGTTCGGAGCTAGTATGTTGCAATGACAGTCACACTTTAGCTGCCGTTTTTAGTTTCCACGCTCCCCTTCAAACACACTTGTGCATTTTATATGACTTTAGTGTAAAAAGAAACTAAGATGTTTTAATGTTTGTGCTATGAATTCTAACAGACTGTAAAACCCTTGCACTGAGTGCCTTGGCTTTGTGCAGTGGGCGGGTGAAATCGTTGATTAATAGTGTAATGCTAAGAGATACCTCAGAGTGGCGCTCCAGCTCTACCTTAATCCTTTCAATATTTCGGAATTCTGTTCTCGTAGCCAGTTGTAAAATTCTACACAGCTATTGTATAAATAGTAACTCCTAAGGAAAGGGAGTTGAGGGGGAACTCTCAACTGATTGCAACTACTGAGCCGGATGCCTCTAGTTTTAAAGACAAATATAGGAAATGTTGTACGAGATTGTTTCCGCTTGAACCAGTGGAGCGCAAAAGAATGAATTAGTAGCACGATAACGACCTCTGACGCGTCCAAATAAAGATCAATATTACAGTAATCAAACTTCCTTAAAGCCAGCTTTGTGCCATATGAGGCATTGTAGCACATAAAGGGAATTTGGTTCAGAGATCAAAAGAAATATAGTATCTGGTTTCAAAGGGCTTATTAAATCCATGCTCTGTATCTGACTGGTGTGCCAGGAAATATTCTAATGAGCCAGCACCTGGGGGTTAAAAAATTACATCAGATGAGTATTCGGAGTTGGTGAAAAAGTGAATCATTTATGCTTTTGATTACATTTATCATGTGGTCTATTTCAGGTTAAAGTTAAATCAGAAGACAGTGCAGCATGGAACATATTACGCGATGACTTCATGATGGGAGCTACAATGAAAGATTGGGATAAAGAGAGTGATGAGGAGGCAAATGGTGACGTTGCTGAGAAAAGTGATTCAGCCCGATGAACCCTGTGCTCATTAGTACTACTTGGCGTAAACCAAACTGGAGTAATACTCATTCTGTGAATGCAATAGATTTTGTATATGGGAACGAGTTGCCTCTTTATTAAAGTGTTTTCTTTTCCAAAGTTTTGTTTTCAAGTGATCTGAATTTGGGGTACAGATCCCTTCAAAATGGAAGGGCGAAAATCTGGAATTCAGCAAAAGAATTTGTTCATTTGATGTTATTTTAAATAGAATTAAAATGTGTTGATCCAGAGTCCCGTTTGTATGTTTGTTATTTCATTCTGCCCTCGAAACAAACAGCACTTCACAGTGCCTAGCAAAACATTAAGCGGTCACAGGCAACGAGTAGTAATGAAGTAATGGAAGGGAATGGGGCAAGAAACCGAGAGATCGCTGGAATCCACAGAATAATGAGGGAAAAGGCCAGTGAGGAAACAGGACACCTGCAGTAGTTCATTCCTCACTAAGTCTTCATCTGTTAGGTAGTGAGCATTCACTTGTGTAGCTAGACCTGGTTTCCACTTTTAGGCATTAGCACGACCTCAGTGCTGTATTCAAATAGTGATAGTTGGAGATTATGTGCTGATCTACCTCAAAATATCAATGACTTTATCAGCTCTACAGTGAATGTTATTTTTGCTGCCAGAGAGATGTGTGAAAATGGCTCATTTGACCTTTCCTTGCTCTACATTGGTAGCAAATGGTGATTTAGAGGCTCCACTGTATTCAGTAAATGCTGGGAACCCCAAGACGATGCTGCCGAGCCTCAGCTGCTGGCGGGAGGTTGCTGGAGAAACTAGCATTTACTTTGTGTGGACCTGTGTGCTTTACTTCACTGCACGTTTCGGAGGGAGAATTCCAGTGGTGCTGCCGAGTCTGAATCACTTTATTTTCCCCTACGACGTGGAAATATTTGTCCAACTGTCTGTTGGTTTAGAAACCGGACTACTCGTCCAACTGTCTACTCTAATTTTCTGAGTCACGTAGGTAGACCATTTCTCAAGTGATCACAATTGCCTGTCACGAAACTACCCTGAGCCAGAGCAGCACCATTCTGCGGAAAGACAGCGAAAGTGGTGTCCCCTGGGCCCTAGCGCCACTGCACTTTTCTATTATTTTGCTCGTTATTTCAAGTCGTGTTTTCCGAGGCGAGTTTGTGTTTTGCTTTTTGTTTAAAATAGCTACTATTAGGTAGAAGAAATCGAATAGCTGGGAATGAGACAACAGAGCAATTTGGGTTGCTTGTTCCTTTTATTGTTAAAATGCCCACGAAGTTATGTACAAGAATTTTTGCAGAACTCCACACAGTATACTTGGAGTGTGTAATATGTCCCTGAATGGAAAAGTTACAGATGAGAGATGCGCCAGGTCTTCCTGACAGAGTCTTCATTTCTCAGCATGACTCACTCGGCTTGAAGCAAAAGTTCATCTTCAGTGGCGTTCTGTGGAAATCTCTCTGATGCCGGGCCCGTGCTTTGGAAACTAATAATAAAACAAAGGGCGCGTATTTTCCTGAATCCTGGTGCGAGAGGCAACAGAAATCACATTGGGTTCGGAGTCAGCACGGACTGGGTCGGTGCTCTCTAACACACCACACCTGTTTGAGCACAGTGTCATGTTTAAGGTGATAAACGCGAACGGCTTTTTCTTACCCCCACCCCCTCCAGTGTCATTTCTGATTGAAGATGATTACACAATCTATTGTTCCTGCAAAAGGAAGATCGCTGGTCGAGTTTTCCAAAGTGACAACTCGGTGGGGGATCGGGAAGGGCGAGAACATTTCTCGATACTACAGAGGGACATGCTTTTAGACAAACTTGTCAGTAACATAACATAACACACCCTTCCCCCAATATGTGGCTGTCGCATTGATTGTGTGGGGGTTAAATGACTGTGCAATCTTACCTCACAGGAAAAAAAATTCCGATATATCGGTTGTTTCTATCTATGATTGACCAGAAAGGGGGAGGGGATGGAATTGTATCAAATCCCCCGGAAGCACAGTCGATAATAACGCTACAGATAATCTACTGTGCAATGTTACAGTGTGCTTCAGACGAGCCCTTCAACCGTCTTCTGCTGGCGAGTGTCTCTCTCTCTTTCTCTCACACACACACACACCCTCACCCCAGGAAAGCCGGCTTTGGACAATCCAAGTGTGAGTGCGATGGCCAGGAGCGGAGTGAGGGAGTGTGTGTGTGGGGGGGGGGAGACAGAGCGCTAAGACAGCGCGGAGAGCCGGCGCCGCCTGTCAGTGGGCAGCCCCGCGAACGAAAATCAGGAAAATCTTCCATCGGCCGGAGCCCCACGTCACTCCATGGAGGCAACACGTGGTAAAGTGAGACATTATAAAGGTCTCCCTGTGCAGCCTGATGTTATCTGCTGGCAAGTCGCTCACTGACACGCACACTGTACAGACTGTACCTCTCTCTCTCACTCACTCACTCACACATTTACTCACTCACTCACTCACTCACTCCCAGCCTGGGCTCTCTGACTAGAGGATGGAGCAGCAAAAATAACGGTTTGCCAAGGACGTGAGGCTCCTACTTAAGATTTTTTTCGCATATATATCAAACTTTTTTTTCCATCTCTTGCCAGTCCGTTTTTTTTCAAAGAAATTGAACTCAGCTTTTTTTTGACAAATTAATTATTCTCACCCCCTCCCCCTAGTGTGTAAGATTCTCTGACCTTTTAACTTCATCCTGGACCGCAGGAGAACTCAACCGAGAGAAATAAAGCTGCTGTTTTATTGACTTTTTCAAAACTGGAGAACCAGAGACTTTGTGAGGGAGAGAGAGAGAAGTTGAAAGAATTCCTCGGGACTGCGATGAAGTGAAGGTGTGTTGATCCTCGGCAGAAGCAGCTTTAGCGCCTGGACTACAGCTGCAACCAGAAGGGAGTCATTGAACTGCACAGGACTTGAGAATCAAGGTTAAACAATAGCAACAAAAAGTGCCTTTCCTCTTTATATTTTTTCTTTTATTGTAAATATTTAACTTGTTGATTCTTTTCGCGTGACGGTCACAAGCTGCAGCTGATTCTTTCTCTTGTTTCCCTGGCCCTCACAACCCACCCACTCTCTCTCGCTCTCTCTCTTCAACTTTGCAACTGCCCAGCTTTGAAAATGCACTACTCCATTTTCACTGTTTTTCTCACGCTGGATTTCGCAATGATCGCCGCTTGCTTGTCGACCTGCAACACCCTCGACATGGAGCAGTTCATGAAGAAGCGGATCGAGGCGATCCGTGGGCAAATCCTCAGCAAACTGAAACTCACCAACCCCCCGGAAACTTACCCGGAGCCGGAGGAGGTCTCGAGCGAGGTGATCGCGATTTACAACAGCACGAGGGATTTGCTTCTTGAGAAAGCGAACGAGAGGGCAGCCACTTGTGAACGGGAGAGGAGCGAAGAGGAGTACTACGCCAAAGAAGTTTACAAGATTGACATGAACCCATTTAGCTATCCTGAAAGTAAGCAATAACAGCAACTTAAAAGAGTTTGTATCCCTTTTTGTCAGCCTACGGGGACTAATGCACTTATATTAATCTGCTTATTTCAAAGTTTGGCTAAAGATGTGTGATTGGCAATGCTTCACATAAGAGACTGATAGTTTGAATGCCCAACCTGTGTCAACAAAAAGGGATGTCATTCCTCTTTAAGACTTAAACGTTTTTGCATGTACAACCGAATTTACAAAAGCGTTCAGTTGGCAGTTTGTTTTCGTGCTATCATTATGTAATATGTTAGATATACACACATGAGGAATCTGAAGTATTCGCCTATTTGAACACCACAGTTTAAGCAGGGCACACGGCGTTGACTGGACAGTTTTTGTTTCTTGGTTTTGTTTATTTTCTTGTCGCGGTAAATTGGGCTGTGGGCAGTGTGCACGATCGCCTGACCACGAACCGGGTTGGGCTGATGGCCCGCAGAAATCCTATCTAAAAATATTAATCAGACAATCTCCAAGCTGCTGTCTTCAGTGGAAATGGTGAAATTCCAAGACAGGTGCTGTGTAAACAAACACGGCAGGCAGGCTCAGGGATACATATTCTGATCGCCAACTACTATTTAACCCATTCAGCGCTGAACGACCCTCTGCGGCTTTTCAAATGCTCACTTTGGATAATTTTGCAGAGTCAAGTTGTCCAGCACTTGTCCATTTCTGATGTAGAAATCGATGCTTCTTTTAAAAAAAAACGAACGATAACCTTTTATTTTCAGATTAACCAAAATTACTTTTTTTTGGCTCCGAAATATTGCGGTTCTCCTGTGGTTAATTTAACCGAAGGTTTATTGAAGATCGTACATAGGAAATCTACAAAATGTGATCTTTATAATCTGTTCCACATCCCTAAATTGTTGTTGGGATTTTTCAGGGAGGTCAGCACCAGAAACCAACCCGTTGAGTTGTCCTTGTATCGCAGACCGTGCATGGGTATGATTGTTTTTGTTCGTGAAAAAGTTGTCATTTAGTGTTAAATAGCCCATGACCTATCCCATTAACGATGCGATATCAGATTTTAGACAATTGTCGAAATTTTGAGGTATTCCCACAGTTCAGAATGTGTAATCATGTTCAATGTCAACAATAATCAGGCCAGCTTTATCAGTTCAGACAACAGAGTTCACCCCCACCCCAATGAAGTGAAATCGCTATTTCTGTCTGGAACACGTGCACGTCCAGTCATTTGTGCAGCGGGTTAAAGGACGGAAATCGCCTGCCTCACAATCCTCAGGGTACTGTTTCACATACAGTGCTATCCTTGGCCGTTACAGAAATACTGTCAGACTCTCTCTCAACTTGGGCTGAACGCCAATACCATTCCGCCCCAGAACTGGGTCAAAGGGATAGTGGCGAGATAATAACGATGATATCAGATCAGCTTGTGCATTCTTGAAAACAAAAAAAAAGTTGCCTTTAATGTGGGTTTTTGACCTGAATCACGTTACCGCTACTTTAGGGAGAGTTGGCAGGTGACCTTGTATCTTTTTGCTGTTTATTGGAGGTCAAATGTCGAAAACACACCTTTATCAACGGCTCTGCTAAACGAGGGATGAGTGTAGTTTGACTCGGTGGTATTTGTATTTATACTTTGGTTGCCTTGGTAAAGAATAGTTGCTAGGTCCGAATATTGAGTGCAGTTTCAGAAGACGCTTGGGATAATAAATGAGAAATCCAGGCCAGAAACCGACACACATCGACGCAGTGCTTTATTTCCAGTCGCCCCGAAAGCAAATCTCAATCTTTTGCGAGCCCGTGAACTGTTTTACTCCAATTTACGTTTATGGACATGTTTCTCTCCTCACCAATATTTTCAAACTCATTGAGAAGGGCGGGGAGAAGAGGAAGATCTGATTGAAATTGAAATAAGTACTTGTTTTCTGACGTGCCTAGGGATTATTATAAAGCAAACTGATGTGAAGCCACTGAAATCGCTTTCTTAGCTGTAAAGCGTAATGGGATGGCTACAAAGCGCTATGTAAATTCAAGTCTTCCCTATAATTCCTCATAATTTGGCACACATGATGCTAAACTTCTTACTTGTTGCGCCGAATTGGCATGCTGTGTGTTCCTGGTTCAAAACTCCAGAGTGCAAATTGGTTGCTTCTGCCTCTTAAGATCGGAGTTAAACATGTGATCCAAACGGGACGTAAATAATAGGTTCCAATCTCCAATCTGCCGCTTGGGTGGTGGTGCAGAACTTGCACTGCTTCAGTTTTGAGGCTGTTTTTGCATGGAATTGCAATCTCCCAATCCGAGCCTCAGAGCTCTGTGTGTGCCTGGCTCCGGTGAACAGATGGAAAGTGATCCAGTGCTTTGAGTTCGTGGAATAACGATGCAGGGTTTTTAAAAGGACCGGGGTGGAGGGGGGTGTTAGTGCTTGACGCCCATGCAATACACACAAGAGCGGTCAAACGTGGGATGGGACCAACTCCCCTCCACCATGAGAAGCTCAGAACATAGATTCCAGCTTCTCTCCCCTGAGGGCGGCGAGCTGTGTGGTACTTGCTTATAACTCAACGCTAGCCTGGGCCGGCAGAGTTCCAAGCTTCATGAGCCACAGATTCTGTAATTTTGTTTTTCGAAGTGTTTACTTCTCGCCACCATTGGCCACAGTCATAAAATGTGTTTGGGCATCAGCTATTTGACACTGCCTCCTTTTTCTTGCATTAGTTCACCGAGTAGTGAAGGGGACGAGAAGACGTGATTTCTGAATAAGCATTTCAACACATCTTCCTTGTAAAAGACAACAAAAAACGTCTGAAAGTTCACCTTTCAGCCATTTCCACCCAGTGAGGCGTTACTTTTCCGGAGCCCCTTCACCTGCTGCGTTTTATTTGTAACCACTTTAAGGCAGCTGGCACTGGTGAAAGTCAAGTTAGGATTCCTCAGGAAATGACTTTTTTTCAATACTGTATTTGTTCAAAAACCGTAATTTCACCACATCCTAAGGAAGTACACAATCAACTGGTTCACTTTCCAGAAATAACTCTTTTATACTGGCATTTCCTAGATTAAATTTAACTCGCATCAAAACCTCTGCTGGTTTCTGCACCAATCATGCTGTAGAATGTAGATCCAAAATGTGGAGCCCTCGTGCCTATGGCATAGTGTGAGAATCAGCGTAAAACAAGTGCAAATGCAGCACCATCAGCAGGTGAAATAACAAACTGATATCTTCTGCCATTGCACCTCTTTCTTGGAGCCTTTTGCCTCCACCTGCTCCCTTGTGGCTCTTGTATTACGTAGGACATGGTTATTCAGAGTGGGAAGATGTTTCCAACAGTTTAACCTTTCTAAATGCAGGGAATGTCAAAGTATTTCAGATGTACTGTGAACAACACTGGATAGGTATAATGCACCTCTCAGCAAGTTTATTGTTTTAGATTATGAAGAAAATCCTGATCAAACTCCAGAACCCCCATTTATGTCAATATCAGATACCTAAATACTTCCCAATCAATCTATTCCAGGGCATTGTTTGTTGTTGCATAAGTCCAGGAAATGTGAGGGATAGAGAATCCAAAATAGATTTAATAGAGTGATAGCAAGAATTGCAGATGCTTGAGTCAGAGATAACAGTGTGGAGCTGGAGGAACACAGCAGGCCAGGCAGCATCAGAGGAGCAAGAAAGTTGACGTTGTGGGTTAGGACCCTTCTTCAGAAAATGGAGTGATACCGGACATGAGGAATTTTAGGTATGAGTGCAAGTAGTACATGATAAAGAATTTTTTTAATGCAGCGAATGATAATGACCATGAATTTGTTGCTTATAATGGTGTTGGAAGCAGAGATGATGAGTGCTTTCAGAAGGATGTTGGATAGGCATTTGAATGCAGTAATATTACAGGGCTGCATCTATAGAACAGGGTAATGGGACTGACTGGTTTGTTGCACAGAGGGCATGGATTCTGGGCCAAATGGTCTCCTTCTGTGCTGATATAATTCTGTGTGAGGCTTGGTGTTTTGCATGGGATGGAGAGATGTAAATAAGCAACAGTGTGTTTTGGCAGTGCTATCTCAGAAGTGTTGCAAGTAATTGAGGCAATTTGCACTTTGAGATGTATCAGTGGTAAACTAGCGCTAATCAGCTACGTACAAATTTTCTTGGAAAAATCTGGCACAATTCCAATTTTACAATATAATTTCACTGAAACTTTCCAGGAAATTCCAGGCCATCATTCCATCCTGCGAACCTTCTTACAACTCATTTTCCTCAATTTTTTTTCCTTATTATTATTTGGCTCTGGAGAAATTTTTAACATTTTAGTCAACAGTTGTGTCTGGCAGCTTCCAGCTGATGTACTGTACACAAGATAGAGAATATTCCCTGATTTATAGATGCTGCTTCAAAACCCAATAATTTATCATATGTTTGTACTATACTAGACAAATGATGCTAAATAATTTCTCAGATTTGAAAAAAAAACAAATATTTTATTTCTTCTTATTTAGAATATCATTTCTGTAACTCGAGTGTAAATTCCTATAATACCACTGGATTATGATTTTTACAGAAGGATTTATGAAATATCCTAAAACTCTGGTAAGATTCCCAGAATGTCATGTAATATAAACAAAGAATGACTTCAATCTTTGCAAACTAGTCATCCAAATTATAGATGAAGAAAATACTGGATTGAAATTTCAAAACATATAGATAAGAAGTTCTGGAATCCCACAGAATGAAAACATAATTTCATTAAATTAGTCACTATAAATAATCATAATTAAAATAAAATTAGGAAAAACATCAATTAAACAAGGGCTGCATTTACAAGCGTAAGCAGTCTTCAAGTTTTCTGTGCAAGGTTGCAATGCTGTATGGCATTCTTGTCCAAATTTTTTTTTGTTAAAAAGCACAGTATCACACAGTTGACAGCAGCAATGAAAACATTTGCTGGCTTGTGGAAGCAGGCTTAGATCCAATCTATGAATGCCATTTTATTGAATGATTTGATTATG